TGCCGCACACACAAGACACGCGGAGCATGTTCGTGACGCCAGTATGACGTGCGCGTCATCGGGGTTTCCATAGAATTACGTTTTCATTGATGCGCCTAATACCTTGTAGGTCGGCCTCACTCGGCGGAAGCCCCTGTCCAATGTTCCGCGACGACCAAACCTGCCGGATCCGGTCATCGTTTCGATGCTTTATACGTCGGATCGAACGGTTTTGACTCACACGTGTCTAGAACTTGCGAGACAACGTGGAAATGCTGGCGTATGCACGGACAACGTTAGACGTATAACTCGGCCTGCTTGTCAATAGCAGGAGCGGTACGAAGGTTCCGTGTCACTAAGCTAAGAACATAATCAGAATATTCAGAGTAATGGCTTTTTTATGATTTAAAAACTAAGTATTCGAATGTAATTTGACATTTAGGTGTTTAATTTTAGGTACTCTCTAAATCACGTTCTGCCTAGTAACATATGCCGGAGCAATGTGACACTTCTTTTTTACGAAATAAAAAATATACGCCAATAGCAAGTTAGACAAAGAATCTTTGATGTATGGTGTATATGACGCAGGCAAAAAAAAAAAAAAAACACGAGGTCGCTGGTTTGTTTTTAGTATTCACTCTTAGCTAACATGCTGTGATCAGAACCTATAACGAAGTGAAATGTATTTACGTAGGTAACACACCTATGGGCTGAAAATTGCTGCTAGACACTTTAGAGCATGCAAACTTACAAAAATAAGGTGACGTCACATTCATGCTAATTTTGTCGCGCAGTAAGCGTGAAGAGACATTAGAAGTGCGCTTTCATATCAATATTTCTTGAAATTTGTTGATCTCCTTTTAATTATGTAGCTGTAATTCAAATCAGACAATTTAATAACCCTTCAGATGTGTCTCCCTCTTTGCGCAGGCTAACCTAGAGTCACGTCAAGTATGTAACTGTGTTTATATAACAGTTACTCGCTTACAACAACTTCAGTTAAAAATGAGGTCCTATTTACTTGTCGACGTTGTTCTGGCGTTGTTTTACGTGTCGCGTGTGTTGTCAATAAATTACCCTCAACCCCGAAAATACATTATTTCCTCCCCCCCCCCCCCCCCCAAAAAAAAAAAAAGATTGTTTTGAAGATTAATATTGCTTGATTTCCAAGGCGGTGACGCAAGCGCACTGGCAATATCTCTAAAAAGATATTAATTATTTATTTATCTTTACACATAACGTAACGGCCGATGTCTACCAAACACAAGATGTACACTCTAAAAATGTCCGTGCGTTTAGTTTCACGGAAACACTCGGAGAGCCAATCACCGCAACTTACGGAGGCAGCTCAGCGAATGACGACCCCGAAACATATGTTCAGACCAAAAAACGCAGCCTGAGTTGTGACATTAAGCAATGCGAAACGTCACGCTTGCATTGTTTAATGTCACAATTCAGACTGCGTTTTTTTTGGTCTAAACAGACGTTTCGGCATCATCATTCGCTGAGCTGCCTCCGTAAGTTGCGCTGATTGGTTCTCCGAGTGCTGTGTGTAAATGTAGACCCACAGGCTTTTTTTTTTATAATGTAGACAAATTTTGTCATTCATTTTACATTGACAATAAAGGACCGCCCAACCGCCAATTTCTTGAAAGGCACGCCTCTGTTCCGAGATATATAGGGTCAAACAAGGAGACGCCAGGCTCTTTAAATCGACCGGAAAATTCGGTTTCTTAACCTATCGCGCCACGATTTTGTGCAGCGTTGCCCACAGATGGTGCATTTTTTTGTTGTTTTTTTTTTGTAAAATTTGCGAAGAGCGGAACTTACCTGAGGAAAAAGTAAAGAAAGAAAAAGGCTTAGCTCCTATGGAAACGCAGCGACGCCACCGGTCTTCAAACAACACGGCGCCGTTTCGCACGGGAGACAAGAGATGGCGCAAGCGGTCACGACGCCAACTGCCGCCAACGAACGAGCAGACGACGCCGAGAGCCGGCATATTTAGCAGAGAAGGAACTGCAGTTCCTTGCTGCTACCGCGCCTGTTTTTGTTTCTGCGACTATGGTGCCTGGATCGCGTCTTTGACTGGTGTGTTTACCGCGGCCAAAAAAGTGGTCCCTCGATTTCCGCCTGATGACGTCATAAAGTGTCATGCTGTCGCCGGTCGCGACCCTAGTGGCGTCCCAACAGTTATGGTGTATGTAGCAGATGCCTGTTCTGCTGCAGGTCGCTTTCCACTGTGACAGTTCACGGAGGCTAGTGCAGCCGGAAGTTGGGACGCCTAACGGGACGCCGTGACGACAGCGACACTCGCGTTCGCTCGTGCTTTTTGTCAGCATTTCTACGGCCAACCACCAGGATCGCGACAGGCAACAGCATGACACTCGCGTCATTTGTTGCCACATCGGGACCACTTTTGATGTATGGGCGGAATAGGACGATAAACACACCAGTCGAAGACGCGCTCCAGGCACCATACTGCGACTATCGCCGCCTGCGGAACGCGCGCCGCTTTTGAGTCGAAAAGATTGTCTGCTAAAGGCGCTGGCTCTCGGCGCCGTATGCTCGTTCGTTGGCGGCGTTCGTTGCGCCATCTCTTCTGTCCCGTGCGAAACGGCGCCGTGCTCTTTGAAGACCGGTGGCGTCGCTGCGTTTCCATAGTAGCTAAGCCTTTTTCTTTCTTTACTTTTTCCTCAGGAAAGTTCGCTCTTTGCAAATTCTACAAAAAAAAAAAAAATGCACCACCTGTGGGCAACGCTGCACAAAGTCGTAGCGCGATGGGTTAAGAAACCGAATTTTCTGGTCGATTTAAAGAGCCTGGCGTCTCCTTGTTTCGCCCTGTAGATCAAAAGAACGACGAAGTGACAAAGCGGAAGGCCTTAAAGTTTGCATGTACAGAATCCGTCGAAAGGAAAACGCAGATTTAGCGGTATTGAAAATACATCGAAGCATAATTTAACGCAAAAAGGAGTGACAGGGAAGCAGGAAAGTAAGATTACAAATATCACGTGATCAGAGACAGCTTAAGGGGCCCCTGAAAAGGAAAAAAAGGTTTTTTTAAAACAATCTGCTTGGGACACGCGTGTCGAAAAATGCATTTTACGCGAAAAAAAAAAATTTTAGACAATATTGACGTCGAGAGATTTATTTGAAATTTTGCGCGCAAATTCCAGGTCATTCAGCTCGGCTTCTCATTGGTAACCATGGTCATTCAAATCGGCTTCTCATTGGCCAATAGAATGAGTGACAGCTTAGATGTTGGTTATAAAATCTTCGTGATCTCTTGAGATCGCCTTTTGAATTACATATTTTTAGGTTTAAGAAACAATCCATCGATTGAATCTCGCAATTGCTTACAAACGTTTTACAAAATCGTAACTTCCGTTCGGACACTACAACAAAACAACAAACAAACGCTTCGCCATTTTGTTTTCTTTCATGGTCGCCGTCGTTGTAACGCGTCTCGCGTACCTCGGGTGGTTTTATCGCGTTTATATGAGAAAACCTTCTGAAGAGGGCTTGTTGCTTGTGTTAGTCATCGTAAGTACTTAGCAAGTGGCGCGGTGTGACAGGTATTTGTTTTCCTGTTCTTCTTTGCGTGATTCGTGTGTCCCGTTTACCCTATCTTTTGTATGTTTTCTGGCGCGCGCCAGTGCCAATTTTTTTTTTTTTTTTTTAGATATCGGTTCTTGTAAAGAGTTTAGTGAAGGCACGCGGCACCGCACTTAACGTTTAATAAAAAAATCAGTCACCACTGCGTGTCCTCGCGGCGGCTTGAAGGGTCGTGCGGCTCGGACGAACTCGTCGAGGCACCCGCTTCGCCGCCTTCCGCGGCGAAGTGGGTGCCTCCTCGCGAGCGGTTGTCTCGCGGCGATCGGAGCGGACGCCTTCCGGCTGGCGAGGCGTGTCCTCGTACGGGCGAAGGCCCAGCTGCTGGCAGCGTTGAAGGGTTGAAGCAACCGACGCTTCAGGTCGGGGTCCATCGCGACGAGTATGTACTGTGTGACCACGGTACGTGCACGATACGACGAGGTACGTCGTGCGACCGGCAGACACAGGGACTGTGTTCCAAATCTCCAAATGGATCCGAGTTATTCCGGCGGATCGTATCACGTGACAGCACAGATTGAAAAACGCTGTACGCGGGTAGGTTTTAGAACGCCAAGGGTACAAAACTCTTACCCTGGGGTAAGATAGAGTAAATTTTGGAACACGGCCAGGAAGTAGCAATGGCTCTCGTGCGGGGCGCAGCCAAGCCGGGAAAGTAGCCAAGCCGATCCACTACGAAGAGGCGGGGTGTACCTCTCCTCCACGCGCCCGAAATGCCGAGAGAAAAAGGTGGAAAGGAGGTGACTGCCGACTGAATTGCGTCTGGCGCGGTCAATATTGCTCTAAAAAAAATTTTTTTTCGTGTAAAATTAATTTTTTAGCACGCGTGTCCCGACCAGACTGTTCTTTAAAAAAATTTTTTTTTCTTTTCAGGGGCCCTTTAAGGAACGCACATGGGCGTCTAGATTTCCGAGTATCTCATTAGCTCCTCGCAGCCAATGAGATTGCTGCATGAGCCGATAACAACGCCGAAGAACAAATGACGAATCAGAAGGCGTAATTCATAGGAGGCCCGCCCTGCGTTCCTTGAGCCGCCAGTGACTATAGCGTAATAATGATATAATAAGGTGTAATTAAGAAACACCAGGACAAACGGGACGACGTCAGAGTTATTGCCCAGAATTAGCTTCTTCACGAGGTGCCAGTTTTGGCTTACAGGAATAATATGGAGAATTCTAACTTAAAACAGGGTGCAAGGTGAACATCTTGCGAACAAGCCGCTTAAAAAGAATTCGTTATCATTCTGTCACTATTTGTGGCCTTTTCTATTGAAATTCACGTGAGTATGTGCTAATTATCGCAACAACAACGGCAACAGACAAAGTGCTGGGGGAAATTAAGTTACTTGTTAGTCAAGGTGGAAACGCAGGAGGTGAGAACTTTATACCAGGTTTGCTCTAACGAACACTTACCACAATCTGAAACGCGTAAGAGCAGCCACGAGAGGAACGTGCACTGAAATATCGCGAACATATTTCTAAAATCTTTTCTATATGAACATCGTCGATTCCCTAATTGTTTATATATATACGAGTGAATAAGACGCATTCATTGGACCGCCTTTATTTAATTAAACGGCAGGTGCGCGCCGAGGACCTTTAAAAAAAAAAAAAACTTAAAGCGTATGTGTTTATTTTACGCGCCCCTAAATCTGTTCGTATGGTTACGACGTCAACAGGAAGTGTTTGGAGGCCGTTTGCAATGTGTTGGAATATGCCGCTGACGTCTGGAAACAGCACATGGGGCAAAGAACCTTTACCACAAACAACTAAAAGTGCGTAAAGGTTGAGTTTTTCTAAACGGAGAAGTAATTTTAAAGTATATGGCGATATTGGTAACATGCATATGATAACGATACGTTATAATGTGCGCGCTTGTGCGGCGATGCGTGTTTTTACGTCTGACCTCAATAGACTGCGTCGCCTGCGTCAGTTTTATGATATTAACATACATACAGGGTGTTTAGCGAAGACTAAAAAATCCCTGAAGCAGTGTGGTTGAGAAAAAGATAGACCTTCACTAAAATACACAACCGGCCAAAACGAACGTCAGAGATTAAAAAAAAGACGTTAGGAATTACAGAAACATTTCAACATTACCGGTTACATCGCAAATCATCAAGAAATTTGTGGTGAATACAAGAATCTCCTATTGCAAAAAAAATGTATATTATTTACGAACCTCTCAATCTGGTTTTCTTAAACATAGGATTACTGAACTACTGCTAGAATATTTTTCAGACTACTCAAAGTACAGACTCGGTAGCAATAAATTTGCGTGAGCACTGTTTATAGATTTAACAAAAACACTGGAAACTATCGATCATAATGCACTCATAAAAAAACTATGTTATATGAGTTTCAGAGATGCCTTTAGGTTTTTTTGAGGAACTATACTACTGACCGTTATCAATTAGTTAGAACTGGCAACTTCAAGAGTGATATGTAGTACACGTAACTTCTGGAGGACGCCCAAGATCTGTGTTGAAGATACCGCTTTGGTATTGACTCACGATGAAGAAAACAACTCGCTTTAAAGTTTTTAGAAAGACGTTGAAATGTTTAGCCGATTGGTTTTCAGCTAATTGTGTTTTTGTTAACTAATAAGACTAAGTAAATCTGCTTTCGTAATCCGTACAAAGGCCTGAACTTGACGACTCCACCATTCCTGTATTCACGAGGCTTTAAAAGCTGTAATTGCGTACCATTAAACTATTAGACTATGTTACGAGACCTGTATGTTCGGGGACGAATCTTGATGAAAAATGCTCTTCGAATAATCATGTTGAATTGCTCAAGATATTGCACGTTGTTTTTTGGTACTTGTACAGGATCCGTTGTATAGCAAGTGTATCTCTTAGAAAAAAATGTGTGTAGCGCGCTCGGTGAATCAATCCCTCGATATGCCGTCTCGTTACAAAGCACGGGCTAACTTTGTATAAAAAAAAACTCGAAATAGACTCAATACTGTACTAAATTTCAAGCAATATCGCCTATAAAACGACCCACGACAACGTGGACAAATGTGAGAAACTGCGTATCTTTGGCACGTTAACTTAGAAGGATTGAACTGGTATGTCCATGTTAATAAAACAATACTATAAAAAAGACTGATAGTTCTAACAAAACCTCAAACTCTGATATGCATTGAGACTTTTATTATTAGAGAAACGTGCAAAACTTAGGGGGGGAAAATACATGCTTTCATGTTCCACATTATTTTAACACTTTACCAAAAGCGCTTCTCCACTTAGCTTCATTGAAGCGAATAAAATATCAGTTAAAAGAATGGTGTCTCCAGTTGAGCTTGCAGTTGCATGTACGTTGATTATAAATTTTGAGATTTCTTTTTAATTTTTATAATTTTTTGTTTTATTATTGGCATCCTAGCAGTCATGCTTTGAAATTATGTATATACAGCAAGTCGGTACAAGGCTCTGCATACAAGTAGCAAGCACTCTCATCTTGCGTCACCTGCGCGAAGCAAGATGACTAGCACGTAGCACACGCATGCGTGCCCTTGTTCTTGAGATATGAGAGACGTGGTCAGTAGAACGATCTGGAATAAAGGACGTTCCTTGCTTGGCTGGTGTCAAGGGAAAAACGTCTTGGTTCTGTCCGTTTTACTTTACACGGAACATGGTGTCAGAAGTAAAATCCGAACAAACGCCTACAATCCTGTGGCGTTGGTTCAGATCTAGTGCTTTTCAATGATGCTCAACAATTGAGACTAAACGTTTGTTTTCCCGAGTTAAAAATTGATGAGTAGATATTAGTTAAATGTTAAGTTTTTTTTATGTGTTTTTGCAATCTCTGACGTGCGCCGTTGCTGACAGCCTGTTCCTGTAAAGAGTTTCTTTTTCTTATGAACCACCGTATCGTTAAGGATTTAAGAAAGTCTTTGATGAATCACCCAGTATATGCATTCCCGCTGCTATGACTTCGGTTGTTTGATGAACGCTTCCAGCGCAGCTTTTCTGGAAATAATGGGAATTTCCACAGATGTCTTCTCGGTGGTGGTCATAAATTTGTAATATTTACTAAACTGCAATATAAATTCACTATCGAAAGCTATCTTTAATATGCCTTTGGTGGTAGAAAGGTCGTATAAAGAGAAACCCAATAGAAAGGTTACAGCTCTCTTTATTTCTGGGGACCACAATATGAATTTCAAATAACTAAATAACGCACAATCACACTTATCAAATTTTTTGGTAATTATCTTCCAGCACTCTTTGTCTCTGGCGAACCCCCCCCCGGGGGGTTCGCCAGAGACAAAGGTCCTAAGCCCTTGCAACGGCTTAGGACCAGCTCCGCAGCAGTGCATCCGGTCCTAATCCGTCGCAAGAGGTTTAAAAAATGGTCTCGTCTCAGTAGGTACGACTCGGTTGCAAGTGAGTTCTGTAAGTTCTGTGTGTGGGATTCTTGAGATGCTGAAATCCTTTCTTCACGACAAACTAAATCTCGACTCCAACCTTTTTTTTTTTTTTTTTTGCTTGGTTGCTTGCAAATCGTAACTCGTCGACTTGCTCGCCCAGAATGAAGAACAAAGCACACTGATACAAAGCTATGGATGCTGCGTGGAAGCAATGTTAGGTGAACTCCAAAAATAAAAGAATTATTTTTTTTTTTTTGAGAGAGAGATAGACCGATCAAAGTGCACGGGAGCAGCTAGCGGATCTGAGCGCGCCTTCTCCTTTTGTCCCTTCACCTTTTTTTTTTTTTTTTTGCTACCTCCTGTTTAAGAGAGAGAGAGAAAGAGAGACAGCATGACTCTTTGTATAGATTTCAGGGACGAAGATAATTCACACTGGCGACAAAAGCGATGCTTGGGGGAGCCGTGTCTAGGTCACAGCATATCACTGGGCGAAGCGGATATAGGTGACGTTTTGAGTGTCGTATGGGTAGTAGAGGCTTTGCGGACGCGTTGTTTTCTAGCCACTCCGTCGCGCGTTCAGGGGGCAGCACCTACTTGGAAAGAAGGTGAACTGGAAAGGTGCACAACGCGGCGGACGATACCTTCACATTGAAACGAGGGAAAGTATCCGATGAGACTTTTCAGAGGCATATGTTCCTCAAGGTAAGAAGAATGTAAATGGCGGCAGGCAACAAATGCTATCACAATGCTTCTGTTTCGTCTTATCTCATGACTCTAAGGTTAAAAGTGACGCCGCGAAAGTAACGAATTACTTTCTGAAGAAATGGTCACTCACTTTTATGGAGTGTTATTGTGTTTCTAATTAGTTACAATTTAGCCATGGGTAATTGTAAATTACCCAAGGCTAAATGTTATTTCTTACATTTTAGTAACCTGTACAAGTCTGGCTACGAGCTAGTAAGACCAATAATGCTGCGTTGAAACAGCAAGTGTCCGGGCTTTTTCTGTTTAAAATATTTTCTGCGATGATAGGACCTATACAGAAACATGACGACGGTCAGGATGACGGCGCGCTTTTGACGCTGTCTGATTGGCCCCCTCAGCTCCTAGCGTCGGCTGCGTCTGGACTTCATGTAAAACGAAGTATTTTGCTGCTTTCACAATTCTCCGAGGCTACGATCCCCCCGCAGACACATAGCATGATGAAAACGAGTTTTGCGTCGGCGTTCAGCTGTGACTCGTGTTGTATCTGAGAGACCTGGGCTCGTCGCGGCCGCCTGGTCTGATGATGAGGACTTACGCGCTTGGGCTACCTCGCGTGGGTCATGGCGTAATCCAAAGCTGGGACCCGTCGGTGAAGGAAACGACGTCTTTCTCAGCCGGGCTCAAAACAAAATTATTTCTTCTTTCTCTTTATCTCGTATCCCATTCACAAGGTGGGCGGCTCATATCACGAGCTCGCCGCCCACATATGCGATACGGTAAATTTTATTGACAACAACGCGGGATTAGTTGCACGGATCTGGCTGTAAGCAGTGACCATATTATGGAGACCGTCGATGGCGCTTGACTGCGCTTCACAAATGGCTAACAGTGCAGAGATATTTCCTGCTTCATGACGTTAGACGGACAATCTTAAGAAGATATCCCAACCCGGACTTAAAACTCCTCACGTTTTCACATCATTTAGAGCAAATATGGTCTACGCGTCTGACATCCATTGCGTTTATGCTATTGTTGAACCTTTACTGAAACTAGTGAAAAAGTTTACATTAATAAACAAATATTCTACATATCTGGCCCATATATAAACTCACAAAACGCCAGAGCAGCCTGTTTATTTTAATATTGCTGAGAAATTCCTTGACCTATTGGATCCTCATTGCATCAGTTTAGAAACTTCGTCTACAATACACCGATATATCTACTTCTTTCGGTCTTCGTTGAAAGAGAATAGGACAATATTTGACTTACGATGTGACGAAAACTGTAATATCCTCGCTACTGTTTCCATACAACTCTACAGTTTTGTTAATCATCCTGACTGGGTCCATGTAAGTTTTGGTTGAACGGCTTGGGCATTCCACATCATAGCTGAAGAACACCTCATCAAAACGAGGATCCTAGAAATCGCAACAAAAATGAAGTTATTGCTTGAAGTCAGGGACTACAGTAAAATAATAAACGCAATCCTCACGTACCGCTACTTCAACTGTGGTTAGCAGGAACTGGACCATTGGATCTGATGTGTCTTCATACCGAATGTTTACCTGCGAAATTTAATGCATTGAAATCCTTAGCAAGCCTGCAATTGGCAACGAGTTACAATAAACTCAGCTAGCATTTTCCATGAATAAAAATGTAGTTATTGGCTTTTCCATTTTAGATGATTACAGTGCTACTGCCCTACTGGCGGTAACGCAGCGCGAGCTCCAGTCCATGTACGCGTGGTTTTAGGATTTTAGTAAACCTAAGTAGGCGGAAGTTCGTCTGCTTCTTGCACAGGGGTTCAGATGATGTCAGAATGCCGAGCTCGTATTGGCTAATTGAAAAACAAAAATAGTGGGTAGACATCAAGGCTTCAAGCATTTCGGTCTACCCACTATCGTTTCAGTTAAAATCAATCTGAGCCCGGCGTCGCTCTGACATCACTGCGACTTCTGCGTAAGAAGAATACGACTTTCCCTCCGCATTGAATTATATCTCCATGTATCGAATGCGCGGAACGTGTTGTTGCTCAGCCTTACTTGCGGATACACAGCACAGTGTCTAAGCCCCAACCAGGCTGTTGCTGACGACAATCAAATCACACTCAAGCGATGCCGCAAACACGTAAGCTTTAAGTGTGTGGATCTGGATATAAGTACGATGTTTAGCTTCAAAGATATTTGCACTACATTACTGTTATAACATGATCGTCCACGGAAGGAGTAATGCTTCCTCCCCGACAGTCCGGAATAGTATGCGTGAAGATTGGGTTCCTTTATAAAGTACAACACTAACAAAACGCAAATTAAAATTGAACAAGCAGTGGCTCTGAAGAATATTTATGCACAAACTCACAAATTTGAACATACGCAGAAAAAGGAAACATACGGTGTCTGATATTAGGCTTAAGGTATTAAAAAAACTGTGAAAGTTACACTAATGCGAATTGTACAAGTGAGTTATACGTCCACCGGGACGGAACATAAAGATCTACACTCCTCCAGATGCTTAGCCAACTCCGAATTTGCTGCATTATTTTTAACATTCCTTTTGTGTTCTGTTAAACGATCGTTCAAACACCGAGAGGTTTGGTCTACATACTTAAAACCACACGCCAAAGGAACCTCATACACAAAGCCTACGCTACACTCACCGAACTTTTCCCTATGCGCCTTCTGACAGCCCCTCTGAACCGTTTCAAAAGGTGTCAATCTATCTAACCTAAACTCCGTGCTGAATACGACATCCACGCCATATATTTTTGCACATGCTCTAAGATTGTGGCACACCTCGTGAAAATACGGAACCACAGCGTACCTATTCCTGATTTCTTGCGTCTTCCCCTTTTTCTCCCTGCACTGTAGGGCAATCTGCCTTTTGATGTACTCTTCCCCATAGCCTGCCATTACCAGTCTTTCCCACTGGTTTTTTAGTGCCTCCGGTCCGAAATGCATGCATGATCTCACCAAAGCATTACTAATCAAAGATCTGACTACCCCGACTTTTACATTTTTCGAGTGACAGCTACTCTTTGACAGAACTGGTTTTGGGTTTTCCTTCCCATACTCCCAACAAAGACCTCGTTCCAAATGCAAACGCAGGTCGAGAAATTGCAGGACCTCGCCCCTTGGCCTCTCTAACGTGAATCTCAACTCTGGCGCCGCTGACGTTACTACTTGTTCCAAAACTTGGTCCAACCCTTCCTGAACAGAGCAAACTAAAAAAAACAGTGGGAAAGAGTGGTAAGGGCAGGCTATGGGGAAGAGTACATCAAAAGGCAGATTGCCCTACAGTGCAGGGAGAAAAAGGGGAAGACGCAAGAAATCAGGAATAGGTACGCTGTGGTTCCGTATTTTCACGAGGTGTGCCACAATCTTAGAGCATGTGCAAAAAAATATGGCGTGGATGTCGTATTCAGCACGGATTTTAGGTTAGATAGATTGAGACCTTTTGAAACGGTTCAGAGGGGCTGTCAGAAGGCGCATAGGGAAAAGTCGGTGCGTGTAGCGTAGGCTTTGTGTATGAGGTTCCTTTGGCGCGTGGTTTTAAGTATGTAGGCCAAACCTCTCGGTGTTTGAACGATCGTTTAACAGAACACAAAAGGAATGTTAAAAATAATGCAGCAAATTCGTAGTTGGCTAAGCATCTGGAGGAGTGCAGAAACTGCACAACGGATTGGTCTGGAACGGATGTAGTTGTTAAATAAAGATCTAATCGCCCCGATAAGACCAATATTAATTAAAATGTATTTATCATTTTATTGACTATAATAAATATATAATTCAAATTAGAAACACAATAGCGTCATCAAGAAGCACTAAATGAATTAATTTGAGATCGACTTGGAGTGCATGGGAAGCGCGGTGGTGCTAAAATTACGACCGGTGATTGGGGTGCAAGGCTGGCGGTGTTAAAACAGGAATGTTAAGCAACATAAAAGAACGCGCGATCAGTGCGATTTTTTTTTAAATTTTAAACGCCCAGAGAAACGAAGCACGCGTAGCAAATATCTATTATTGACTGATTTAGTGGCTTTCGATGACGCGAATCCAGTTTCTATTTGAAACGATTTTTTTTTATTTAAAACGATAGATTGATTTCTTGTCCCTCTTATCGTCCGTCGTCCCCGGTTAGAATCATGTGTAACGTTAACCACCTCGCTTGTTTATTTATCTGGTGTTTTATCATGTTTATGTTCACTAGTAAAAAGTTAATGAAGTATTTTTAAATTTCTGTTGTTTTTTTTTCGTGCAATAATTAGCCCTCCATATAATGCTCCCCCCCCCCCCCCCCCCACCCTTTCCCCGTGGGCTGTAACTCCTCACCTGTACAACTTGCTTAATGTATATTTCACGTTTCTTTTTTTTTCTGCAAATTGTAAGCTCAAAATGATACACCGTCTAATGAGACGTAAACCTGACTTTTTAGGTCTTCATGAATGCAACTTGTCACATGCATCTAAATATTTAAGAGACACATACATTACCAGTTTCATACAGGTCGCTAAATATTCTACTAAATCTTGATCGGATCCGAAGGCACTTCGGTGATTATCATCGACCACAATTTTCAGTTCTGCATGAAAAATATTATTGCGCTGAAGTCCTGAACGAGCCGTAAGAAAAGCCATCGAAATACTATAGAATTAAAATGCTCCATTTGCATAGGGTGCTCGAACTCCGACAGAACGTAACCCCAACCGTTCGAACAGCGTAGCAAAGTTTCAGCACCGACCGTTATATTATTCAAAAGTTATAAGGGATTTTTCAAATTTTTAATTGGAAAATGGGGCTCATTTTCGCCCGTTTGCGGTTTCCGGTGGCATGGAGGTCCATGTATTCGAAAGCTCCGTCGGCATCCATTTTTCCATTGAAATTTCCAGAAAATCGCTTACAGCTTTTGAATAAGACAACCGTTGGTGCTGAAACTTTGGCATTTTGCTCGAACGGCTGGGCCTAAAATTTGGCGGAGCTGGAGCTCCCCGTAATGGCCAGTCTATCTTTGCGGTGCGAAAAGCCGGGTTCGGGTTTCTCACAAACACCCGGTAGTTTCAAACAAGTGTATGCTGGAAAAAAAGTCTGGAGTGAGGAATACATTTTCTGATTAATGTAATTTAGATTCTAAGTGGCATCTTAATAATTTAAACTATCTGCCGCAAAACAAGTTCTCTGTTGGGAAAAAAGGATTGCGAACAGTGCAGCACAAAGTTGTCGTTTTTTTATCTCTTCTTATGGAAGCCGATCAAGGAAAATGTTAAGTATAAAATGCGCGAATAAAAAAGCTCGAGGTGCACCTAAACACCTTTAATGAGTTGTGAATGCGAAAGCATGAATGTCGTTATTGAAGGCGTCCTCGTAAAGTGGCCGCGCTGCGTTGACATCGGCCATGCCGCTCCTTGTGAGTCTGCACAAGCGGGCTGCCCCGCCGCCAGCCGATTCCTTTTACCGGCGCGCTGGCGGCGAGTAGGGTGCCTCAATGTGCGTCTGTCATAGGGTGAAGACACCCAGTGTTGTATTAAAAACTGTCTGCGCGTGCCGAATGGGCCTTAAAATGGCGCCAAAGCACCGGGCAGGGCTAAGCGCTCGCTCCGAACGAGATCGAAGCGCGTGCATTCTGGGCATAGAAATGGCCGAGATGCCGCCACCCTAAGACAGGCGTGGCGAAAGTGTGTGAAGGCACCCTGGCGGCGAGGGGCACACAGCGCCTAAGTGTGGCACTTCTTGAAACTGACGTGCGGGGGCCCACTCCTTGAGATTTCGGCTTCATTTCGCTGCCGTTTTCAGTGGCTCTTTGCGCGGCTTCAGGTCGTTGCTTCACTACGTTCCATTGGGAGAGAGGAATTTAGCTGCTGCTTGACGTGGCTTTTTGCGCGGCTTCGAAGCTGATGACGTCGACTCGCTCTATGGTACAGTTAATGTTTTCGCACTAATAAAGCAGCTTTCTGTGTCCGATTTTAAACACAGCTTGTCCGACTTTATAATATAGTACAATGATACGATCTTGCTATGTTACTGGTCTCCAGGACCTTAGTTTTATGATAGTATATGCACAAGGGATGTTAACTATGTAGAATTTGTTTTAAATATAGTCAGCTTTTTTTTTGCTTGAACTTCATGATCTAGTTTAGGAACTAGATTTTCGTGTTTGAACTTATTGTATTTGTGCAGCACATAGCATACCTATATATTTTGTGGGCGCTATAAACATTAGGCATTTTTATTATTGTTATTAATAATAATAATAATAATATTACTATTATTATATTATTATTGTTAATAATATTACGCTATTTAAAAAACAGCTTAGGCTGGTCCCAGCTTCAAGCTGGGTTATTGCCCCAGAATGCCCAGTTTGGCATGTTGGTCATGCTGCTTGATCTGGTCCCAGCTTCAAGCTGGGTTATTGCCCCAGCATTTCTAGTTTGGCATGCTGGTCATGCTAGTGGACTTTGCAACCAGTTTAACGTGTTTAAAATAATGCGCAGGAGAAACAAGCCAAGCTCTTCAGAAAAGCCAACTCGGCATCCAATTTATTATTTACGTACTTGCGGCCTGCTCACATGAGCTCATTTGCTACATATCCTTGGCGCTGGCACAGTACTAACCGACGCACAGACAGAGGCTCTCGGTGCAAAGAAAACAATATTAATAAAACCGGATTGCGTATCTCTCAACACGAAAAACACTAGACACACTCCAAAAACAGGCCATAACAAAAAAAATATACTACACGGATGAGAGAAGCAAACCTGGGTCCCGCCAGTGAGGGGGGTGAAGCGGCCTCTTGCGTGGTCAGCAGAGACGAGGAAATCCGTGTAGCTTGGATGGAATTGGCCATACTCTTCGGCACCACCGTCATCTACGAGCACACACACGTTCGAAGACACGAAGCGACGCTTCAGTCGGGACGTCCGACGTCTTCCCGCACTAAGCGGACTGCCGCTCGATGTCTCCCCAAAACCCACTTCGCTTGCAGCGTCGTTCTAGTCTCCAAACAACGCGCATACAGCCGTGCCTTCGAAAATCTGCACAACCTAACCAAACGTGTCCCAAATTCTCCGTTCCTACCCCTCTCTCTCTCGTTTCTCGCATACAAAGGCAGCTCGCAGCGCGCGTGAAGCGCCCGGTCGTCTACCAAAAACGAGAGGACAAAGATCAGGACGTGGCCTCTCTCCAAATTAGGCCGACCTTGGCGCGCGCGCTCCCAGCAATGCCAGTTCGACCATCTCTAGCCAACCTTGGCGTGCGCGCTCCCTGCAAGACCAGCTTGGCCGCCACGAATATGAATTCGACCAGCTTCACCAGCTTGTCACCCACCTTAACCAGCTTGTCTCCCAGCTAGACCACATCGGCTCCATAGAAAACCAGTTTGACCAGTTAGCACAAGACTGGCTCCCAGCTACACCAGATTGAACCTAAAACGAAATTGTAGTCAGACCATGCTGGTTTTTACTAAAACCAGACTGACCAGCTTAAATTATGGCTTGCCAGTTTAAACCAGCTTGATTGCCAGTTAAACCAGTTTGACTACCACATTGACCAGTTTGCCCAGCTTAGTTACCAGCTTGACCAGTTTGATTTTCATGCTGGTTTTTCTAATAGAGTACTATTATGATTATAATAATTATTATTTTTCTAATCAATATCGGTTTACCACGCCTTGGTAAAATATATAAAAAAATTTAAATACATTCCTATTTCTTCTTTTGCAGACTAATATAACCTATTGTCCCCCACCAAATACTGTTTCGTCCTTGACGTGGGACACATCCCCTTCTTGAATCACTAGCTGGCGACTTGAATTTAGGTTTTTAGCATAATCTGTTTATTTGTGCCTGCTTTCTCGATCTGAATGAAGTGTTTGACATTGTGAGCCATTTTAGTTTGTTACAAGAACCTTGTCCTGTTGGTTTCCAGCGTCCTTTGTTTTACTTTGCTAACCAATTTTCTTCAAGATCGGTCACAGCAGGTTTCAATCAACGGGACACATATCTCCAACGTTTCTTTAAAAGCTGGTGTTCCTCAAAGCTCGTTTCTTTCACATTTATTATTTTATTTTATATCTACGTCAATGCCACGTCTACCCAGTTTCAAATTGTACTATTTTTAAATACACAAACGACATTATTTTTTGTTAACAAGACATATCTCTCGCATTCAAGTCTTATGGGAATGCTCTAGGAAAGTTCCCTAGAATTAATTAACTGGTTCGCCAACAATTTTATAGATATCAATATTTTAAAAAAGTTAGTATGTTTTCACAATCCCCTTTAAGTTGGTGACCTAGATATTAATGTTTAGCTTCACACGTAACATTGTGTCACCTTTGAGTGTACTCCAATTGTTTTCTCAATCACCGTGACGTATCTAGGTATTAATTTTAGTTCTGATATCTTTTTTTTTGTATTTCGCACCTCACTCAACTCTTTTCTATGCCAAGAAGCGTTTCTTGATTAATGCATAACATCAAGACGTTTCGTCTATTTAATCCTCAAAAGCTCATACCTTACTCATCAGCATATTGTACTCTACGGAATGGCATTACCTTTTTTGGAAAATGCTCTGAAATATGAATGTCGAATGTAAATACAATTCTCAAAAGGAATGCTGCGGAAAGTTTATTAGAATCCTGCCACTTCCTCTCTGGATATGTTTCAAATATTATCTATGTTCAACTTTGAATCTCTGTTTGTTGAAACGGTAGTGCTTGAGCACTACTGGAATGACGACTTTAACACATTTCTTCTGAACATGCGAGGACTACGAACGGTTTCACGATTTTTCGAACGTGCATGTTACACTCGTCATGGCAAGAACCGTCTGTCTTTCTTCGTTCCTCAAACTTTAAATTCTTCCATTCTAATTTTCCTGACTTCACCCTTAAAAAAAGCTTAGTAAATTGCTTCGCCATCTTCCATCCACCGATATGTTTCTCTAAGCATTTAGAGCTTCTTGTCTGAATTATTTTTATTTTTATAACCACTTTTGGAGTACTTTCTTTTATTTTGTTCCTTTTGCGTATCAATAATGTTGTCACAAGATGTGTTTTCTAAACCAAGTATTTCTCTGTAATATAATTCAATAGTGTCAAATGCTGCTCTGTATTTGTGATTCGAAAGCATTTACTGACCTATGGAGCGAAGCCGGCGTTGTCTGTAACCATCTGTAGCAACGAAACGGCAGTTGAGTTCCCATTGACCAGCGCAAAGTCAGTTCAATTCCTATTGGCCAAAAGCACTGCAACGCTTCGTCACCGAAGATGGTGGGTCTGCACGAGGCGAAAGCGGACGCGCTTCAGAAATAAAATAACACAAAGAAAAACACGTCAATGCACATGCATCGTCACGGGAGCCGTGTAGCCCGCGGGGTTCGCCGCGCCTGCGCAGTAGGGGAGCGTGATGTCACCACCAGAGCGCCGTGTGAAAAGGGAAGGCGTGGTGCGCTGCTTGTAGGAAAACGGTGTTTGTAGGAATGTTTCGCGTTCTTACACGTAAGCTTTCTTAAGTGTCCTCTTTTGTCTTTTCTTTCAATAATGATTTTGTGATTTATTTTTCACATTGAGTACCTCATACTCCATGAGTGAACGACCTACACCATAACTTTTTGAGAAACAATTCAGTGGTGTTAAGTGACATGACCGGATTTTAAGAATTTAATATCGTGTTCTTTATGAAAATTTAAAGATTTTCCTGGTACTGCTGACTGAATCTGCTGTAAAAACAGTTCAAGTTTGAAAGTTTGTTTATTGCACAACTTTTGTTATAGATTCTTATAATATTCTACCCGCAACTTTGTTTTAGTCACACAAGCAATTTCAAGAAGGCTTTGATGAACATGCGTTGTGCAGTGGACATACAGTACATTGACAAATAAATTACTATTATTATTATTATTATTATTAAGATAATGATAATAATACGAATATATAATAATTATTTGTATAATTTTTGGATCAGGTAAAAAGACACAAGAACACACACACAAGGAACATTCAATCGAAATAGTTTTTGTTTAAACATTTGATTTATATGCCAACATCGTACGTGATTTCAACACTCCTACCTTGAAATCTGCCTCTACCTTGGTGACGTTGATCCAGTTGAAGTAATTCGTGGGGAATATGACCGTCTTCTGATCGGGCACTTAGAGGAAGAGGGGCAATTCTTAGCGTCTCGCTAACAATTCCTTTCTGCAGAAAAAAAAAATACAGTAATAAAGCCGTATCGTAGATAAGGTTTGGCATTCGTAAGGCAGAAATGAGTTTTTTTTTTCAATATTAAAAAAGATATATTGTTTACAATCAGGAGAGGAGTAAGTCATTGGAGATTAAACACCAAAAAGCGAAGAGAATATAAAATACAAGGAAGCGCGCATGCCATATGTCTAACATTTAACTGGTCCGAGAACATTTCTATTTTAATTCTTATTTCAACTTTTTTATATTTAGCCCTTTTCTTTGAGCTGACATTGGCCCATAGTAATGTGGTGCCTGGGATTGGCGTTTAAAACCACATAGTCGCTTAACCTTTCCCTTACATCCGTGCTTGTATCTTCTCATCTAGTTCATCAGTGCAGTAAATTCTGCACGAGGATTGAGCGATGCTGATTTTTACTCCATTCGATTGATCAATACCAAATCAAACTTTTATTCGAGAGAGTGCTCTTATACTCCAGATTTAATAATCATCTCCAAGATTATTAAATCAAGATAAGTTTTTATAAAATCTTGCGTTTTTGGATAGTCATTGGACGCACTCATATAATTATTTTCACTGAGGACATGCAGACAACAAAAATATTACTTCGACTTGGAAATAAAAATATTTCGGAAAACGCCAGATTAAAACATGTCGTACGGAATTTTTGTCGGATCTACATCTGATTGTTATTTTCGAATAAAGCTAACTCACGTCTATTATGTTTTAAACTCCAGTCTCCCTTACAGCCACTAAACTTTTAGTTTAAGAACTTTTGTTAGAATTTCTAATCAAGTCATCGGTTGAATTGTGTCATCTGGAAAGCCCATTGATTCTGCTGGATCGTTGTTTAACACACAGTGAATGAAAGAAGCTGCGTACCACTTCAACTCTGCCTTCCTTTTCTTCTAAAGTAACTGACGCCATTCGGGCTCGATCGTGATACAAGTTTGCTTCAAGCTCCTTTCCGTTCATCTGAGTAACAGAAATTCATTGATATAAATACCTGCTATCAAAAAGCAAAACTTGATCATTCAAAAATAAAACAGTGGTATAATATGTTTCATGTACGAAACGTCAGAGGTGTTATTTTTTACATTTTAGAAATATCTTTATCACACAATAAGTCCCTTTTTGTCGTTACCACATATGATGTTCGTATTCATTTTTAAGCTTACTTAGAGGTACTCTTTTATATTCGACAAAAGAATGGGACACAAACGTCCACAGCCTTTCAAAACTCATCCGAAGAACAGGTCATGAACCTCAAAAAATTCTGCGACATATCACCTTTGTTTCTATAAAGCAAGCATAAGCTAAGACTAAGTAGAACACGCCGGTGTTATTCGTGCCTTTCATGACAGAAGGAATACTAACGGTGCATTACGCAAGAAGTACCCTCTTTGGCATGAGTAGCATTTGTAGTGAGGTCTAGATACAGTTGAATAGTGTTGCTTAAATATGACTTGCGACGCCACATTAATTCTCATTTGAGGTGTTACCTATACCACACTGTGCACGGAAGGAGGTAATGACTTCACATTTCTATCCTTCCTTACGTATAACTAAACAAACAATTAATATTAAATGCTCTATTTTGAGAAAAGATTACTTCACCATTTTTGTGTCAGTTTTATTATCCGAGATCCCGTTCAGTATTAAAGTACCAGAAACCGTCAGGAAAGGGTAACTAGTTGATCTTTGTATCTGTTTAAAAGGACACTGAACCTAGGGAAAGATTTTGTTTTACCTGGTCAGGGCAGGCAAATCTAAAAGTAAATGTTGGTGTAAAATGAATGTGTTTTTTTTTAAATATATATACTAGAATACAAATATTTGGCTTTGCGGGCGAAACCAAAATTGTACCCCTGTGCGATGATGATCAGAGCGCCCGTCAACTAATGTGCGCTCTGAGTTCGCTGAACCTCAGAGCGCAGACTAGTTAGGAAGAAACTCTATCATCATCATCATAATCATCATCATCATCAGCATAATCATGTCAAGCAGTACAATCATCGAAAAGCAGTTGGGGAAAACAAGTTTTCTTTTTTTTTAAACATTGGGGAAACAAGTTTTTTTGTTCGACGAATCTTAATTTTGAGCGATGCCTTCCCTAAACAATAGGAAGGTTTTTTTTTTGTTTTTTTTTCCAGGTTCAGTCTTTTTTTTTAAGTTATGGCATAGCCTCCTTCATACTCACAAAGCCTGGCAGTTCGACAACGGAGCCATAAAATTCCGGTCGCAGATTTGGAGCGCGAGGATCTGGTAGCACACAGCATTTCTAGGGGAACCTGGACGTCAGCGCGCAGCTTTTGTAGTGGCGAGGACCCGAAACATGGTTTTCAAACCCGACGAGAAAAAAAGCGGTAGCGCGAGGAACGCGAGAAGCACGAGCGGACATTCCATCGCTCGAGAAAAGTGTGTTTCGCCGTCTCGCCGCAGCGGGGTGCCCGTCACGTGGCTCTCCTCTCAGCCGTTGCCTACCGCTCTACCTTTTGAATTTCGGCGGCCGCTTCTCGTGGCGATCTGCCAGGCTCATTATGTAAATAAGGCGAAGTGAGTTAGCGATCGCTTTCTTAAAGGGCATCGAACAGACCAAACAAACTTAATCTTTTTTTTTTTTGCAACTATGTCCCGTCGACATGTGTAATTCTCACAAAAATTATTTTGTTGCTTGCGCGGAAAAAAAGTCTCCAAACATTTAGAAACAATATATATATATATATATATATATATATATAATTTATTTTTTAACAAAAGGCGAAAGTCGTTGTCGGTTAAATGCGCATTTCGCTATTTGCACGGAGTCGTCATTTTGGATAGCTAAACACACACACACATACACAAACAAACAAACAAACACACACACACACACACACACGCGCGCGCGCGCGCGTTTGTTTATTGCTTTGAGTTTAATATATTTTGTGCAGAGACCGGGGATGCAGCAAAATAAGGTAAACATTTTTGTTGTTTAAAAGCATTTTTATTCGTGAAAAAAATGACTACGACGTATAATGGGAAACTGTCCAAATTCAGACCTTTGTAACTCAAAATTAAAGATGCAAAAACCTGAAGTTTTTTCTTATGAATTAGCATTTTAAAACCCGTGCAAGTTTTCATCAAAAGTGAAGACGTTCATCCTTTCCAAAAAGTGACTCAAATAGAGTCAGGGGCATTCATTATGCAATTTTCGAAACTCATTTCGAAAAGATAATTATCCTCAATCTTTTCATTTTAACAAATCAAGGTTCATATTGTGCCCTATAAGGCCAAGCAAAGATATATGGCAATATATTTCCTTTTTTTTAATTTACTGCGCCCCGGCCATGACTTTAGTAGCAGAACTGCCATTATTGGAGTACAGAAATATTAGACGTTCCTGATTTCAAGTAAGGGCGAAAAAGTGGCCGAAAATATATAATGTTCAGTGCAGACTATGCTGAGGCAGGAGGTTGTTAAAACCAACTGTGTATTAAAATATTTCAGTTGAACGCAATCATAAAAGCGTTTCCCTCATAAACCATAAAATACTATATCAATATCTCGATTCTCCCAGTCCATATTTATAATTTATTGATTTCCGAATAAAATAACGGGTTGCTGAAGGAATTAGATTTTTACTGGAGGTTGCTGAACTACTTTGAGCAGGTACTGCAGCTTTATGCAGTACTTGCAGGCTCGCTTCCTGCACCATAGACTTGAGCTTGAAGGCTGGTATACGTACTTGAAGACTTCCGAATACTACACATGATAAAAGCACCCTATGATATATTTATAGATATAAAACCACCTTTTTGAGGTGTACATTGAGAAATGATTGGGAACAATAGAAAACGGGATAACCATAGGACAAATACCTCCTCGTGTTATGAGTTGTATTTTTTAAAGATTATTTAGCGGGGCACTCCGGCGTAATAAATAGCAATGCAGTTATAGTCGCTCACATGATGAGAATGACAGGGAGGAGCTTCTGTTGTTCTACATCCAGCCAGAGTCCCTACTTTTGACAATGCTTCGGCGTCTCGTGCACCTCGAGTGCACGCGTAAAACTGAAGCACGGCGGAAGGCGTGGTGTGCAGGCTGGAGGTCGGGCTTTAGAAAGACACGCGTTGCCATTCTCATCTTGTCAGTAACTATAAAACGCACACCACTTGATCTCATTGGACCTTCATAATATAACAGTTTGATCTGAAAGAAAAATTTATATTTTATGTATGCATTCGTTCAATTGAAAACTTACAAGTTTGTCGACTCTTCTTCCATTATTGTTATTGCTAAACACAAAGCTTTCTGAGAGCACTGAAGTCTTTTGCAGATTGAGAACAATGTCATCTTGAATGTACAAAACCTTGTCAGCGTCCAGTCCTCTTGCCTCGAGAAGCCTTGGATAGACGACGTTGCCTGTCGAACGAGCTGCGTTTGGAATAGATGTGTATTTCCTTATCATTAGGTATTCTGCCAGTAGTTTTGTTATATTATGATTTCTGTAGTTTTAAAATCGATGTGGCTGCAATGCTCAGAGAATGCAAATAACGGACCCTGCTTTTATTAACGGTTACTGTTATACTAGTTCAATAACTATATTACATTGTTTGTGCCTTTCCAATTTCAAATGAAAAAGTGTCCGATCCCTGAGAACATAAACGTAAGACTAATCAATTTTGCATATATTAGAGCGCAGCTCTTAGGGGCCCGTTCCCGGCTTGAGCGGCGTCGCCGTCGCCGTCGGCGTAACCAACGTCACCCCAAGGTCACGTGACCCCCAAGGTCATCCCAAGGTCACGTGATCCCCAAGGTTACCACACGGCCACGTGACCACCAAGGTCATCCCAAGGTCACGTGACCCCAAGAGGTCACGTGACCCCAAGAGGTCACGTGACCCCCAAGATCACGTGACACCCAGTCACGTGACTCTTCAAGTCACGTGACCACCCCGAGGTCACATGACCACCCCGAGGTCACGGGACCACTCCGAGGTCGCGTGACCCCCGATGACGTCATCAGTGACGTCACTGATGACGTCACCATCATCCGCATCGTCATCATCACTGATGACGATGCGATGACGTCATCGCCGCTGATGACGTCATCAGTGACGTAACTGATGACATCACCGGCATCCGCATCGTCATCGTCATCATCACTGATGGCGTCATCGGTATCCACATCGTTATCGTCACTGATGACGTCATCATTAACGTCATTGATGACGTTACTGACGACGATGATGATGCGGATACCAGTGACATCACTGATGACGTCACCGGCATCCGCATCGTCATCGTCATCATCGTTGATGACGTCATCAGTGACGTCACTTATGACGTCACCGGCATCTGTATCGTCATCGTCATCATCACTGATGACGTCATCTGTATCCGCATCGTTATCGTCAGTGATGACGTCATCAGTAACGTCACTGATGACGTCATCGGCATCGTCACGTGACCTCCCAAGGTCACGTGACCCACCCCCCAGTACCCTTCCCTCCTCCTCAAGAGCTGCGCTCAAATTCGGCGTTACAGGGAGTTGTAAACGGCTTTCACTTTTTAGAGCGCAGCTCTTAGGGGCCGTTTCCGGCTTGAGCGGCGTCGGCGTCACCGTCGCTGTCGGCGTAACCGCGAGGTCACGTGACCCCCCCGAGGTCACGTGACCCACCCAGGCCACGTGACTCCCTGAAGTCACGTGACTTCTCGGGGGTCACGTGACCCACCAAGGTCACGTGACACCCCTAGGTCACGTGACCCCCTGAGGTCACGTGACCCCCTCGAGGTCACGTGACCTCAACGAGTCACCTGTCCCTCAGTACGCTTCCATCTTCCTCCTAAAGAGCTGCGCTCAAACCGGCGTTACAGGGAATAGTAAACGGCTTTCATTTTTTTACCCACTTTTTATAAACTTTTTTCGCGAATGATGTACAAAATTTATTTTTTAGATTATTGTGTGTCAATTTAAATCGCGAGAACATATATGGTAGCACTTCCTAATAACGTTTTGGACTGTATATCTACTTTCTGAGGAAATATATTCGACTTAAATAAAAAGATATGTGGGTTTCCTACGACTCATTAACAAGTGCAAAAGGTGGACTGCACCTAGAGATTACATAAATTATAATATAATCCCACCAAACTTTGTTTAGTATTAAGGTAAATAGAAGTGTCGCGGCTCAACTTGTTACAAATTGATGGCTTGAAAATATATAACCATGTGTCTGTGAAATATACTACACATGCGGGTAGATTATCTTACGCATATGAGCGGTTCATGATCTGACCACTTTCCAGCAAAAATGACGTTAAGTAACTGTCGCCAAATGAAAAAAAAATCTTGTCTTAAATTCTACTTTTTTGAGTGTAGAACCATGAGCTATTACGTAACACGGTGCTTCGGCACGTCGTTCATTTTTAGAGCGCAGCTCTTAGACGCCCGTTTCCGGCTTGAGCGGCGTCGCCGTCGGCGTCGGCGTCGCCGTCGGCGTAACCACGGGGTGCATTATGGGAAATGTCCCATAATGCACCGCGCGAGCCCTCCACCGGGGTCACGTGACCCACCCCTCCCGAGGTCACGTGACCCCCCGAAGTCACGTGACTCCCCTGAGGTCACCTGACCCCCTCCTCGAGGTCACGAGACCCCCGAAGTCACGTGACCCCCACCAATGTCGCGTGACCCCCCGATGACGTCATCGTCACTGATGACGTCACCGACATTCGCATCGTCATCGTCATCATCACTGGTGAAGTCATCAGTGACGTCACTAATGACGTCATCGGTATCCGCATCGTCATCGTCACTAATGACGTCATCAGTGACGACCTTGGGGGGTCACGTGACCCCCCTGGTCAGTTGAACCCCCCCTCCCCAGTACCCTTCCCTCCTCCTCCTCAAGAGCTGCGCTCTAATTCGGCGTTACAGGGAGTTGTAAACGGCTTTCACTTTTTTTTTGTTTAGGCGCCCAAACTTAAAAAAAAATAATATTGCCGAATAAATTATTCTTAACCCTATTAATTGCAAGCTTCCTTCGGCAGAATACCATGCCTTTTCGAGCTAAAAAAATTGGGGAATGATATGGCGCGAGCACACCTTGTACATTTCACTGAATCGGTTCGTCGAAGGTGCGTAAATGTCAAAGGGCTACTACGGGTGCCATCGGTGCAACACCAGTTTTTGCTATACGTTATATTTCTCGGCAGTTCTCTTTAGAGCAGTTATATTCTGCCGTCTTAAAATGCCTGACTCTTAGCAATCTGTTGCAAAGGTTTTCGGTTAAACATGCAACGTATTTAAGTTCGAAAATAAACCCCTCTCATGTGTTTGCCGCCCATATTAATATAGTGGAATATGTTCTTGTTTACAAATAAGATGTACAGCAATAGGAATAGGATATACGTAGGGAACTTCACCAAGAACGAGGTGTTACTACAGGACGACACAACCATATTGATGTTTCAAAAGGTGTATTTTTGTATAGTGATACCTTTATCACTTTACCATTAGAGGTTTATAGATGTAGGACTAGAATATTTGAAATCTATATTTGCAGTATCGGGTTCGAATAAAATACAAACAGAAGAGCGCGTGGCCGTCGACACACGCTGCGGCTCAAAGAGGCCTCTGGAATCTGATAAAACTGCAGGGTGGATAGTAAGGCGCTGAGAAGGTGTGTATCTTACTCCGACGTGTTCGACCCTCACCCTGCACAATCCAAGCTTCGACGCTGGGCCGGTGGTGCGCTGGAAGTTCCGTCTGTGTCACAGCTAGCGTGGGATCGAAAACAAGCCACTCGAGGAAACACGCCACGCACAGCGGGAGCATGTTGCTTCCGCACGCGTCCGTGTAGCATGACTGTAGCGCCAGGCTCCCTCCTAATTTGTGCCGTTTCTCTTTTTAAGTACGGGTTGTATTTTTTTTTTGTGAGCAGTAAAGCAGAAATTTCGCGAAATTCGAGACAGATGAAGGTGTCAGCAACCCAAGAAGGTTGCTGACACCTAATGAAGTCATTTATTCGACAGAGTTTTATATATCAGCTAATAGCGCTCGCCCTGTTTACCCCCTAGTACTTGTGTCTCGTGTGTCCCTGGGATCGCCAAAATGCTGGTTAAGCAGTTCCTGCATACACCAAAGATTTTAACTAAGCAGTAATTTCATCAATGGGAACTTGAAGCGAACCGTTACCGCGTTCCGCGTACCGCACTGCAGGAGCCTTTGCAGCATGCTTTCAAGCGCGAGCCCCGCGGCCCCGCGGTATCACCCGGGCGCGCGCTCAGAAGCATGCTTCAAAGGAACCGGTAATGCGGTACGCGGACCACGGTAATGGTTGGCTAAAGGTCCCTTTTGACAAGCCACATTTTGCAGGCAGCCAGGATTTTGTTTAAAGATCACGTCAGTAATCGCCTCGTGTATCAGAAGCGTTAAATAGAAGTTAACGCCGTTTGTTCCTTCAGGGAAAGTATTAAAGCTTAATTGACGTCAGCTATCAGAACCACGCAGATGTCTTCTTGAGGGACCGAGAGCATGTGGCTCCAACAGAATAATGCTTATTGAAAAATTCGTAATAAAGAAAATGCGCAAGTTTGGAGGGAGCGCGACGCTGCGGTCATGCTCCCCGGACGCACGCGCAAAAGCCCCCTCCTACTGCGAACGGCGAGCTTCCTCGCGTGGTGTCGAGCCATCGAAAGCGGTTTTGACAGAACCTCCAGTGCAGTACCGACACAGCGTCCAAGCTTGGGTTATGCTGGGTTAAACACATTGGAGTAGGATGCACGCCCTCGCAGCGCCCTACTCTCCACCCCGTAGTTTTATCAGTTTTTAGAGGCCTTCGGAAGGCGCGGCATGTGTCTAGAGCCACGCGCTCCGTTATTTGCATTTCATTTGAACCGGATAGTACCTTTATTACTCTCTGAAATAATGACTTTTCGGCGCCGCAAGTTAAACCAATCAAATACGTTACTTAAGGCCAGAACTGAATTTAGGGCTTTTTGTCGCTGCAGTCCCATGAATATAATCCTAGCCAAGTAGGAGGCAGATCATCACTTTGAGAATATGAAGAACGTTTATTAAATATAATAAAAATAACAATATTACACCACGGTATAAGTGCATCACAGCTCGGCGCACATAGGGAAAAGGCACTTGGAAATGTGCAAGTTAATTGTGGAAGTCACAGAGTTCCTGTCGATGAACGTGCTGCCGACACTGCGTCAGACGATAGAAAAAGTGACTCCGGCGGCTGGTAGCTTCTCCGCCTTTGTCAAGGTGAGCGTACCCTCGGAATTTTCCAAGCCCTTGGAACTTAACCCCAAGTTCTGCGTGGAGCCCGCCTTGAGACTCCCTGAGTTGGTGATGCGTGCAAGGAAGCTGGCATATAGGACCACGGAGATGTATAGGCAGCTCCTTTCGTCAAAATGTGTGGA